AGCGTGAGGTAGACGTCAAGTCTGTCACTTTCTCATATTGTGACTGGGCCAAATGAAGCCCTCTTGGAGCTAATTCGATGACGCCCTTTGCGTTTCCCACACGCCAGCCTCCTCTTTTGTGTCTCGCCCTGCCTGCGATGCCGCGCCAGTGAATGCTAAACAATACGAGTAAATGGATCAGCTAACGGCGGAAAGTGGCAGAACAAAGTCTGAAAAATGACACACGGTAATCAAACACACAGCGGGTGACTTAATCCTGTCTTCGTCTGCTCGGCCCCCTCGGGGCCCTTCCTACCAGGCAGCACATTTCACAGTCTACCCTGTAATCCGTTTAGGAGGCGTCATTACGTGTCAACAGTGGCCCAGTGCGTTCCCCAGAGAGCACGCTAGTTGCTCTACGTAACCAGATGGCACGCACTGCTTGTACGGTGGAGCAATTTGGTTGATGAAATGACTATTACATCCTCATAAGTTCATGAGGTAAGGTTGGCCTATTTCTTCAATATGTTATTTTTTTTCCCTCCATTATCGTGGAGAAATGTTCAGTCTTCAGATTTAATGTACGAGTCAAAGCATTTCCGTAAGCAGGTGTGTTCGGTTTGACATTTCTGAAGGACTTTGCAACATTGACATCACATTGACCTTCATAAGGAATCAAATGTGGCTCACTTGGCAACGTGTTCTTGTTTGGACACTGAAATTGCTACAATCGTTCAAAGCACTTTCTTGAATGAACTGGATGACGAATGATTCTGACTCTACATTCTGACTCTACATATGCTATGTTTGGCTAGCCAAACATAGCATATGTCTACTAAGATTGTAAACCACTAACATCTGCTACCGTAACACTGATTTCCTACAGATACGATCACTTTCAGTTTGAGTTCTTCTGACATTAAAAGAGGCAGTATACATCCTGAAAACGGTTCTGCGTTTTTAACAAGCTAATTGTAATATCTTTTTACTCGACGTAGAAATAACAGAATAATACTGTCTACATCCACCAGTACATGTATCTGCTGCACTTGTCTATGAGACGCATGTGTCCACATTGCAACATGAGATATTTACACAGATTTTAGCTTTTAACAAAATACATACTGGTAGCATACACAAATAAAAGCTTTTTCTGAAGAGTGGCTGTAACAAAGATGCTTTTTGTAGCTTTTTTTCTATTATTAAATAATTAAAAAATATGTATTTTTAAAATGTTTCTGAGCCATCTAAAATAAGGTTTGTTGCAATTTATTGTTTACATGTTTGACCAAAGCAGTCAACCTATTGTTTTTGTTGGTTATTTGTTTTACATTGGCTGTTCTACTCCTAATTGTAATGACTGAATACATTAAAGTTGTGTTTTTACGATTGACTAAGCTTATGAATCTGTTGGTGTATATAAGTTTGCTGTGCTGGTGCAGAGTTACCAAATAAATTAGTAATTCAGTACATTTATGTCTGCGTTTAAAAAAAAAGTAATATTTTAAGTCAATTCAGCTCTACGTTTCTGTATCGTATTGGTATCAGCTAATGCTAACCCTCAAATATTAGTATCCATATCAGAAAAGCGTTCATCCCTTAAAACAAAAGCAATTTCTTTTTGCTACTTTTTATACCTGTGATAACTGAATACAAACATATTGTCTTGAACTTCTTTGCAAAGCAAACCGACTGCATTGCCCGGTTTTCTTCCATTTCCTGCTCGTGTGGGTTTGTGCACGCACGCGAACACATCCCTGACCGATCGATTTTAAAGAGCGCTGTAATGCATTTAAAACAGAGCTGGACTCTCAAACCGTCAGCCCCGGAGGCAGAGCCATCGGAGCAAGTTAGGAAATGACAAAGAGCCGCCTGGGCCCGTCCTCCCCGACGGTTCCCGATGTCCCAATCTCGCCTCGGCGCCGCGGCGGTTATGATGTCAACAGAACAAATCCGCGTAGACGTGTCAAGGAGAAAGAGGACTCGAGCGTTGTTTTCGTTTTGGTTGAAGGTGTAACTGTGTTACATTTCACGATTCAGTAGTTATTGGTTGGGTAGGACAGATTGTCGGCGTGAATAACATTCATCCATTATGAAGGCTGCAAAATGAGGAAGTGCTCTACGAGTGAATGGCAGCCCTCCTCTAAGCCTTGAGGCTTTTTAATTATTTCTGCATAATAATTTTAGGCCGGCATATAAGACTTGACAGAACATAAACATCTGATCTGAAGCATCTTCCCGCTCATTAATATTTAATTTCCCTAATTAGATTGAAAGTGCCTGTAGTAACTTTTCTCCTGAAGAGGGCTGTTTAAAAAAGCACCAACTTTGGGATACGTTAGAAGAAACATTCACTACAAAACATTACCGTTTTTAACTGCATAAACAAGATGAAGACGATGCACTAGCACTAATTAGAAAAGTCCCTCTATACCTGTTTGAGGTTTCCATTCATGTCCCCGATGGCAGCTTGTTTTTTTCCCCCTCCATGCTCATGTCTGGAGGAAATCACTGCAGGAAGAAGAAGATTATCATAAACCATCCGGTTTTATCTGCGTGCGGCTGCCGGGCGGTCGGCTCCGATGGCTCGTTTGGACGTCGTTCTTGTTTGATGGCAGCAGCAGAGCTGGCAGTAAAACTTTAAGGGCCTTGATGCAGCCAACCGGGAGGTCACCGACCGACGGATGGAGGGTTTTATGATGATGAGCACATGTGCTGACTTGTAAAACGCATGCCGGGGTCTGACCTCAGATGTAGCTGGTGATGCCATCTGAATAGACATGCTTAGGATGTATGTAGGTTCACACAAAAGATTGAAAAGTGTTGGTCTTTTTTTTTTGTATATTTTTAACATGGGGTATGCAATAAATCGATAATATGTATCGCGATGGTAGATAAACCAATAGAGGATACATTCGGTAAACTTTTGAATAGTTTTATTGAATACCGATCCAGAACCGCTCGGCATTCTGGGGAATGTAGGCAGAGGGGAAGCTTTAGACGCTCAGCTTCTCACGGCCAACTAAGAAATGTTGGTGGCATCGATGAACTTTCTCTCTTTGGTTTTCAACAACCTGTTGAGTGGCTTGCGCAGCAGCAGTTTCATGTTTTGCCTCATAACTGCTTAAAAATAAAAATCAGAGTCGTGCAGTAAAAACTGAGGATGGAACAGGAAAGATCACACCAGCAGTTTGGCAGTACTTCAGATATTTACAACAAAAAAACTCATCAGTTTTTTTCATCATCAGTCAATATCAACTGTTATGAAACCCTTCATCGTGTTTTTCAGTCTTATCGTCCAGCTCTAGATTAACGATAATAATATGCTGACAAAGATTATAACATAAAAGATGCTGTGCAGTTTCAGAAATATGAATGCTGTACTTAGGCTGGTCACAATAACAAATTTTCCCAGACCATAAATTGGCCCCGAAATTATCACAATAAACGATAATATCGTTTTGAGACCGTTTTCAAGTAATATATTAAAAAATGACATAATAATACAAGTTCCCCCTGTCAAAGTCGAGCATATTTTAATTTTGTACACACTTAACACTAGAACTGGAGGACAGTTTAAATATTAGTGACCAACTGAAAGGCAGTCTACCTCTGAATTACTTGTTTAGTTGTTTAATTTTACAAGTCCTGACATGTAAAATCACCTGAATTTTGGATATGTTGTATGTGCAACAAAATGCTTCTCACTACCTGCAGATATATGCCTGTCATGCTTTAACAATCTGCAGTGGTAAAACAAAGAATTTGCAATTCTATGAAGCGCTCACCTTGGACTCAGCTAATACCTGAATGCAGCAGCACCTCTGTAGCAGAAACGTCCCTGGAAACGTTCTGTGATCTGAATATGAAATGCTGCGTCTCAGAATGGAGACAAAGTCCTCATGAACCATCTACAATTCAAACATTGGTGGTTCTTGTTTCTCATGTCAAGAAATGTTTTGGAAACCTATAAGAAGCAGATTGTTGAAGGAAAAGACAGAACTTCTTAAATGAAGCAGAATATCAGCAGACAGAAAAATAAAAAACAAAACCCTACAGCTGTTTGTAATTCTACAGACGCCTGGATTGATTTGGCATTTATCCTTCTGTAATTTATTTCACTTTGGATTTTATGCATTTCAGATTCTCCACATGCTAAGACCAATCTGTGCATCTGTTTTTTTTTTTTTTTTGTTTTTTTTTACGGCTAACCGCAGTTTAACCTCCAGATCCTTTCTGAAAGCCGAAGTGTTTCTGCAGACACCAGATTGTGTTGTTGCTTACATCTGCGCTGTGTGGACGAGTTTCACTGCTGTTTATCTGATGCAGCTCATATTATGTGGCTGGAACATTACAGGCTTTAAAAAGTTTAAATTACCTTTTAAATAAAACTTCAAATGTCGAGAAGAAAATGGAACCAGCCAGCAATCGGTTTCGATCAACACTGGAAAATGTTTATCATTCATAAGATTCACCAAAACTAAAATCTCACCATTTTCAGTCTAAAATGGCATCAGTTTGTTTTTTAATTTGCTTTTTGAGTTAAATTTATCCATTAATGGGACTAATCATAAACATTTTTCAGTTTCTGCTGGTTTTAAGACCATTTCTGTCAAAAAATTGACTCTTGTCTCCTTTTTTCAGCAAAAATCTAAAATGGACAAATCCTTATTTGACTGGAAAAGTTTGACCTGTACACCTCACGATGAGTGTATTAAAGCAGTGAGAAGTAACCGTGTTTTAGGAAACTGAGAAAGTTAAGATAAAAGAAGCACACGTCCACTTCTGTGGATGTGACAATATGAGGCAATTCAAACCCAAACCTGGTCCTTTTATCATTCTTCACTCACTGTTTGGCCTTAAAGCTTTTCATGAAAGCTGATTTTCTAAAATTGTCGAGCCCATGCTTTCCTGCAGCGCAGGTTAAACTCTTGGGTATTTGAGGGTTTATGGAATAATCATTATTTATCAGTGTTGAGCTAGACTGAAAAACACTCCAATCCATGCGTCTGTTTCTCCAGGTGTTCAAAGTCAAGGCGGTCCAGCTGGCAGAGAAGCTCATCCCTGCCTTCAACACCCCAACTGGGATTCCCTGGGCCATGGTCAACCTGAAGAGGTGAGCGGCGCCAGCAGAGACGTGAACGTCAACCAGAGTTACGTTTTCCACAGGTTCAATCAGAAAGAGTTGATTGGTTTTGTTGCTCACTGGAACTTCAAATTCAAAGTTAGAAAGTACAACCTTTACCAAAATAATAATAATAACAATAATAATGCATTTTATTTCTATAGCACTTTTCTGATCAAGAACAGCCTGTAAATCAGCTGTATAGTCTGAATCTGCGTCCCTTGAATAGGTCTGTGAAATAAACTACAAACCATTAAGGAAGCCGAGGGAGCAACTGGTTGCCATGGATACTTTGAACAAGACTTGTTTCAAGGATTAGCAGTGTTTTGTTTTTTCCCTGCAATGCTGCACCCCCAATACTGCTTAGGTTTGAGCTCCTAAATGACAAATGGATACGAATATATACAACTCAAAAAAACGCTGGAAATTAAAGCAAGTGTTTTCACTGTAACTTTTAGGAGTCAATATTCAAGTTATAAGCAAACATTAACAGTACCTTCAGAAACTACAACAACTCCATGACTAGACTTTACCTCTTTCCACAAAATTGCCACGCTTTACTCAAATGTTTGACCTGCTTTTGTTAAAAAAAATCAAAAAACAAAGAGCAAGTAGGAGACGTGCATCACGTCTTTGCAGCTGGTTTTAAAACACAAATGTTGGTGCACACGTCGTTCCCCTGACATCGGTACCTTTCAAGGTTACCTGTGCTGCCCCGCTCTGCCGTTTTACTCTGTCACAGTGCTGTTTTCACCCAGTAACTATTTAAGCTCATTATTGCAGTGTAGCCAGCATGGTGGTTGAAAGGAGAAAACACACAAACCTGATTCACAACTTGCCAAAGTGTGTCACAATCTGTCTTTTTGTCAGTGTTGTCCCCTGTCTTTTTCCGGTCATAGCATCGTTTAGATCTCATTTTAAGTGTACAAAACGGACAGATTCTGCAGGTTTTGTGAACAATAAGTAAGTTGAAATAGAAAAGTTGTGTGTAAATATAGCAGCTTGGTTGAATAGCTTGTGGAGTCAGAATCAGAATCTGCTTCTATGGCCAAGTTTGTGTTTCGCTTTGCTTTCAGTGGTGACGTTTAAAATGGAAACGTACACAGGCAAATGAAAAGACAGTTTGTCCTGTAAATACGTATGAACTGTATGCAGAGACATGGTTGAATTAGTACAAATATGCAATCTGGTATCTGTCTGCAGACGCTGTTTAGAGACACAGCCTTGAGGAAGAAAGTGTCTCTATTGTGTCTGGTCTTTGCAAGTAGTGCAGTCACAGCGGTGTGATGTGTGGATTTCAGGAGTTTCACAGACTCGTCTGCTGAGATGGAGTCATTTGTGTAGAGAGAAGAGAAGAGGGGCGAGGACTCGCCCCTGAGGGACTCTGGCATGTGTAAAACTTTGCAAGGGGAATATCGGCTCCTTCTTTTTGACATTTCTTCATTTCCTAGATTATTTTTTTCCATCCATAGCCTTCTTAAGGTCCCGCCAGAAACCTTAAATTGGGATGAGGTCGGGGCTTTGACTAGGCCAAAGCAAGCCCTGACTCTCTTTCAGCCATTCTGTTTCGGTTTTGATCCAAACTTCAAATAGCCTCACATTCCCCAGTCATCACACTTTCACCTCCGTGCTTCAGTTAATAGAAGGTATTTTGCTTATGTGCATGATTTTGGTTTTCAGAATGGAAAAAGTATAAAGAGAGCACAGAACACATAGTAAATCATTCATGCCATTTTTCTAGGTTTTAAAATGGATTATAAACAAGACAAGCACATGGATTATTTAATTACAATAACTTCTCTTATTTGTCATGTTTTTTACTTCTCATATATCCACATCCTTACAAACTTTGCTGAAGTGAAATCAGAGAATGAGACAGAACTCGGTAGCAGCCTCTAAGTTGACTAAGAATCTATATGTGTGAAGAAGTGCAGGTCCAAAACAAATCCATACTTCTGCTTCTCAACGGTGATCAAAGCCCCTTACGTCTGACTTAATCGTTGAAATAAAAAAAAATAGAGATTTGACTCGAATCAACATCTGAAATGCCGTCGTGCTCGACGGTTAAATTATGCTCCGAAGTCTGCAAACAACGGTGCCGGCCAATTATTTTGGCAGAGTTTTAAACACGTCCACGCTCCACCCACACAGGCGTTTTCCCTTACTTTGCCTGATTGGACCTCTTCACCGGCCAGCGTGGGTTACATGCAAACTGTGCTCATAGGGCAGAACCGTGTTTGCTAATCCCACAACCTCAAACCATTGAGTTTTAATACCAGAGAGTGCTTTTTTTAAATTCTCTTAGAGGCTGTGGAAAAGTGTTAAATTGTGCTTCGTGAACCTTTGGTCCACCCCGTTAGTTCACAGCCTGCAGAAAAGCTTCACTCAGTTCCTTTTTCATCCACATAAACTAAACAATGGTGGCAAAAAAAAAAAACATTCATGTGCATCTTCTCCTTCATTTCTAACCACTATCGACGCGTAATAACTTCACATCACTTAAATCATTAAGCATTACATCAGGCTGTGACATTAAACAGTGCTTTAAAAAGCTAATGGATGGTTTGTTGCCAAGCACCGAGCTCCTGAGGTTTTAAGTAGCACAATAAAGGGAATTGTTTTTTTTCTCAAGGTAATTCTCAGGCAGAAAACCAACGCTTAACGTTTTAGTCGAGTCTCTCAGCAAATAAAACACGCTACGGGACTTAGGGCTACATCTTGAACATGACGTAAGAAATTCATCTTAGAAAGACCCACATAAAAGGGATGTTTATTGATTCCTCAACAAGCAGGAGGGTTTCACAATCTTTCTACTTCTAGCCGGAAAACAGATTTTCAGGTGTGGGTGGGAGCATTTAGACACATGAGAAACTCCGAAGCTTCTCGTCATTTTGTTGTTGGATTAACTGAGAGTCTAACAAAATGTTCTTGATTGTATGAATTTGAGGTCTTAAGATTTTCCTGCCTCCTCTACAGCGGCGTTGGTCGTAACTGGGGTTGGGCGTCGGCCGGCAGCAGCATCCTGGCTGAGTTTGGGACCCTCCACATGGAGTTCGTCCACCTCACCTACCTGACTGGGAACCCGGTTTACTACCAGAAGGTATCACTGTTCAGTAGCATGCATCTCTGTTTCAATGACTGGGTGTTTCTACTGTTCACTGTGTTGTTGCTGAGCTAACAGTGAAAGCAGATTTGTGTTTGCCACATAGACCAGTTCAGCCTGTGCGGTAAGATTACTTCTGGTATGCTGATGCCGTCGTGTATGACTTCAAGTTGCCTCTCAAAGTGGCAATGCTCCACATCCATGACGTCAAGAAAACATGTCTTACCCCTTCTGACCCAGTCACAGCAGCCCAGAAATGACTAGTGTTGGTATCCAGACCCAACAGCAGTTGACTTGGTTACATCAGGAAGTGTCTCTTTCTGCCAACATCTACCAGAACGTTGGCCAGCGATCAGCATTCCTGTAGTGACTAACCAGAGTTTTAGATCCAACCATCACAGTCAATTTACTGATGTTGGAAACTGTTTATCAAATCTTCTTAACTTTGAGGCATCAAATAACTTTGAAAAGCTCCACTACTAACTTTTCCTGATGCCAAGAAGCGAGAAACGTCTTTGTCTTCTTTAGATCGGGCCGCTGCAGTGCACTTCTCTGCAACTGCATTTCCATTACTAACATGAGCAAAAGTTTGTCGGTACTCCGCAAATGTCAGAAAAACACAATTTCACATTTGCAGTGTTTCGTTTAAATCAGAAACACAATTAAAACACGTAAATAAGCTTCTTCATGCGATACGTTATTAAAAACATGTTGTGCCATCACCTTCCTACCACTTCCTGTCTTCTTCTTTGTCTTTTCCCCCAGTAGTAACAGCCGGTTGTTAATCACGGCTTGAGAGATGCGAAAGTGTTTTACGTTTTGAAAAAAATATGCTAATTTTGATATAGCCAAAAAAAAAAACACGCCTTATCGTAACGTAAAAACTTTTTAGCAAACATGTTTTTTTTTTTGTTTTTTGTTTTTTTTTGCAATTTCTGTGTTTTTTGTGAAGCAAATTTATCCTCATAATTCTGACTTGCGCTGTGATGTGATCAATGGAAATGTAGCTAACATCATTTCCAAGCATTCAAAAGCCACACTACACCCAACATGGAGGCTTCCAGGATCTTGATGACGGAGGGGAAACTCACCACACACCATTATTTGCCTGGATATTCTTACTTCCCAATCAATCATTGGCAATGTTCTTCACTGACGGAGCTTTTCCATCAGTTATCAATAAGTTAGTTGAGTCCATTTCTGTTCTTCTGCCTGTGGGCAACCCTTTTCTGTCTTTTGCTACAGTCTAAAACTTCTTTCATGTGTTTGTTTCAGGTGATGCACATCCGCAAGCTGCTAGCTAAGATGGACCGACCCAACGGCCTCTACCCAAACTACTTAAACCCTCGCACAGGCCGCTGGGGCCAACGTAAGTACACAATAGAAGCATTTATTGACTTTTCGGTCTTAAATCTTAACGTTTCTGGATCGCTGGCGTCCGACCAACCTGTTTGGAGAGGTCCGAAGATGTTCTTGCGAGCTTCCAACGGCCCCTCGCTCCTAAGTGTGCCGTTATGACGGAAAACAAGAGATTAGCACCGTGAGAAGTGGAGACAAAAGTCCCATGGATCTTCGTTAATGAGGACAAATTGAATCAGGCAGAAGACTGAAGATGGGGAGTTTTTCGTTGTCGCTAGATTGATTACATTTGGCAGTTTGCCCAGAGAAATGATCGGCTCTCAGAGAGAAGTTATTGAAGAAGTGACAGAGGTTTTCCTCTGGAACCTTTTATTCCTAACTAATGCACTTTTGGCTTCCATTAAACGGATTTATTTGTTCTAATTCACACCGCTATCCTAAGTAGACCAGTTTATATTATTACATTTAGATACAGACTTTATTTTGACAGGAATGCTGTTGAGAAACGCTCCACTGCCTTCCTGTTTGAAATAAACATACGGTTTATATCTGAACATTTTAATTTATTTTCATTCGTGTTGCGCTTCGGCGAATGACTCAGCAAAACAGAGTGAAATAAACTATTTCATGATGTTCAGTTGATTTATTTGAAACAAAGCATTGATGACCAGATATCATCTTGATATTCATCGAGAGGAAATAAAAAGATGAAATCTGCAATACACTGCATCCGTATGTTTGCGTAGGCTAAAGGTTACCATGGCGACTGTGCTAGGCTATATTGAGCATCTTGAGTTCCACCAAGTTAATAGCAAATAGTAAATATGTAGAACTGTGTTCTGCTTGGTTCTGATTCGTTCTTTCTGTCGGCTTTTGTTTTGTAATATTTTGGCTAATTGAGTGTTAAGATGATTATTCCCTCTGCTTTCTCGTTGCTGTGCAGCTGGAAGTATTTTTTTCTTTTCTTTTGTTTTTTTTTACTTTTTGACAGTTCTCACAGTGTGTAACCGTGGCACCAAGGTATCTTTTTTTTTTTTTTTTTACAGCTGGGAGCCACTGATTAGCATCTCAAAAGCTCAAATAACCTCTGTACTTACGACTCTAACGTAGTTCAAATCTCTGCCACTTATCACAACAGGCGACGCTGCCTGGTCAAGCTTCACAACGCTGTGAAAATGTAACTTACTACAGCATTTAATTTCCCTCTGGGTGAAAAGTAAAGTATTTTTGAATCGACTTTAACTATCTCCCTTCAGAATTTTATTAAGTTTACGTTTCAAACAAGTTAAACTGCTGATCTTTACAAGCGGAGCAGCGCATTAATGGACGGACAGGTGGCACGGCAGTCGGACTGATGTGCTTATAAGTGCGGAGTTTGAGCCAAAAGCTGGGGGAAAATAAATGGATGGAAACTGTAGGGAGGGCAGGTTGATTGAGGGATGGTTGAGTACATTAATGGATTGGAAGTTAGCCGGCGGACCGCACCAGAAGACGGATGCTTATGGATGGTTTGTGTTTGCGTCAGGAGGTTTCATTAGTGTTCTAGTGCAGACGGCAACATGCTTTTTTTAATTTACCATCATTACCTCAATCCGTTTAATTGACTGAAAATGACGAGATGATTTCTAATGGTCCTTTAAAAGGTGATATATATATATTTTTTTATATGAAATAATTATTTCTAATCAAGCCGTGCGGTAATCACGCCCCCATCAAACGACCACGCTTTTTCCCAGAAGCAAAGCGTAAGTGGGTGCATGTAGCAGCTTGGAGGCTTTGCTGAGTCTGAACAACAAAAGCAAGAAAATAATCAAAGTTTGTTGAGGGTTTTTTCTTTCTGTTTTTCCATCTTGGATGAAAATTCAGCCTTAATCGGCTCGAGGCCTCCAGGGTGCAGGGTGTAAAGGCTGACGCCGCGCAAACGGCAACATGACTGAAATCCAAAGCTTGTTGTGGCAGCTAACAACATAATGTTTCTTTTCTCAAACATCTGATCATCTGAAGCATTTTGTAGCTTTTTTTATGTTCTATGTGAAGTTTGTTTTTATAACCTACATTGTCCGTTTTAACAAATCCATTTGATCAAAACAGCGTGACGAGCTAAAAGCTGAACTTTTATCCAAAAACTAAACTCATATATACTTTACACATGTTTTTTTCCTCATTTTGTTGCATTACAACCACATCATGAATGTGGATACCTCCATCTTTGGGAATCTATCATACTGTAGAGTGTGAAAAGTTGAACTCTTCCCGTTATCCACTTTATAATACAGCAGCTTTCCAGTATAATTTATCCGTTTTGTTCATTTGGGTTTTACTTCTTTCCTTCTCCCACATTAATTCTTGAAGGACTCCAATAAAACACGTTTTGTTTTGTGAGACAACAAATTAACTTGATTTGAAATGACAGCTCATCCAAACCCTTCCTTCACATTAAGTCCCCAGTGTTTGGAACAGGGTGTGTGTGTGTGTGTGTGTGTGTGTGTGTGTGTGTGTGTGTGTGTGTGTGTGTGTGTGTGTGTTTGCACCTGTCAGTGAAGCACACTTGAGTCGTAACTCACTACACATTTAAATTCATTACAGCTCTGTTTATACAGTAGGTTTTCAGGCTGGGGAGACTCTCTGGGCCGTCTATTGTTCTAATCAGCACAAAGCACCAGTAACATGGAGTCCTCTGTGACCATATTAAAACTCTTCTGTCAAACTGTTTCTCCCCCATGCTTTCATTTCCTGTTTAGCATAACAATTTGTCCTCTCCTCCATGAATCGTGTCATTTTGCACTAACTCACTCCAGCAGTAGGATTTTCTCGTCTTTGTGGTTTAGTGATCCTCCTTTACTTTTATTTGATGTCTAAAAGTAATATTTTAATGCAGTCGGCTAACAGCGACTCAAAAGCCCTTTTGTTAATTTATTATTATTCAGTACCAGTTTTAGCTCATTCATATTTATCTCTTGTATATACTCTGTGAAATCTTAAGTTTGCTGCTGGACCATTTTATTTTTAATAAAAATATTGCCAGCACGATGTGTAAAACTACTTTAAACATCGTTTAAGTAGTTTTAAAATTAAAACACAAAAATAGTAAAACTACAATTCTTCAACAATAATAAACTATAGAATTAGCGTCTGAGTCCCACATTTTACTTTGAAATGCACAGCCTAAAGCTGATTACTTTCCATTGAATCCATGATGTTTATGAACCAGTTCTTCAAAACACCACCAGATGGCGGCGTCACTCGCTCTGAAAGTCGTTGAACTCCTATTTTACATCTGTAAGTTGTGTTCATAAGTATTAAAAATCGTCCACAAAAACATCTTTGTGTTTATAAACAGCTTTGATAAATTGTAATATTAAGCCAACTTTGGATAAACAGGAAATTAAAGTTTTAAAATTGGGGATGAATAGGCATTACAGGGGCAGTAGCCCAGGGCGCCAACTTGGGGGGAGGGGAGGTGCCCAAGGTTTTTTTTTTTTTTTTTTTTTTTATGAATGCATATTTTGCAAACATTGTACTATGTTTAAAACTCATTGACCCAAATTAGGTAACCTGTATTAATATTTTGGGGATTTTTATGAATTTATGAATGAACAATATTCAAATCTTAGAAAAGTATAAAGTTATAGTCCATTTCTTTGGGGACAACACAGAGTTATCGCCTTAAACCTACAATGCATCAGTTCATATGGACTGTCTGTTACTGTACTGTAATTTGCATTAGTAAAATATTTTTTCCTTAGTGGATTTGGCACCGGCTCCAGCCCAGAGGCCCTCATCCTTGTAAATCCGGCCCTGCTGGTGACGCATCCACATGGTTTCGTTCTCAGACTTTCTTCCGCTTGAAAACTTTTGAAGAACACCTTCCGAAACGTTTCACAATTCAACAGGCGTAAAACCAGGAGGGAGAAAAAGCTGCATTGAGCTGCAGTTAACAGCATTTCCATCTGTTGTAAATGACTGCTGTTAAAACGGACTTTTTAAGGAGACGTTTGAAAGAAGACCAGAGGAAATAAACAGCGGAGCCACGCTCATCGCTCAGCCTCGGTGTCGTGAAGGTGGGGTTGCCACAATTCTGCTTGACAAAGACAGAATGAATAATTCATTCTCCTCTTTTGCTCTTTGTCTTTGAATATCCCTCCAGTTCCCTAAAGGCATGTTATTCACCTCCAGATCAAGAGCTTGATAAGACACAAAGCATCTGCTCAGATATCAGATGTGGCTACCTGGAGCGGAGGAGAGTCTGAAATTAATCCCATTTCTCCACAGAGAGACGGGGATAGCCTTTTTATTTATTTATTTATTTATTTTTTAAATAACTAAAGGATAAAACTAGAATAAGTCTGAAACTTCCCTCTTGACTCCAGCAGGTGGGCCTGCAGTGGACGTCATATACGTGTTTTTACTGTAAAAATACTAAAATGAAGGGAGAAAAGATCTAATTTTAACTCCGGTGGAACGTTTCCACTCTAAACGGAGTCCCGTTTTCGCTCTGCTTCGTCCAGCTACTCAAGCTGTGTAAACTTCAGTAATTATTACCGGGAACAGTGAAATATGAGACGGTAAACAAAACGGGGAAAACCAGAAAGCGTGCTGCCAGTATTTTGTGGCTGCCGAGAAGTGAAGGGAGAAAAAAATAAATAAATCAAAACATGGCTTCGGTTGATGCTGCGCTTTGCCAAGGACGTTGAGGCACAGATTAGAACTGAATAATTCATGCTCATTCTCTCCGTCTCCAGCTAATCTCAGAACTCGTCTCTCCGCAGATCACACCTCGCTGGGAGGACTGGGCGACAGCTTCTACGAGTACCTGCTGAAGGCGTGGCTCATGTCCGACAAAACCGACACGGAAGCCCGCAAGACCTACGACGACGCCATCGAGGTGCGCCGCCGCGACTCCTCGCGCAGCTTTCGGGCCCGTCCCGCTTCACGTCTGCGTGTTTGTTAAATCCGGAGTTAAATGTTTTTCCACCCCAGGCCATCGAACGCCACCTCATCCGCAAATCCAACGGCGGGCTGACGTTCATCGGCGAGTGGAAGAACGGCCACCTGGAGAGGAAGATGGGCCACCTGGCCTGCTTCGCCGGCGGCATGTTCGCGCTGGGCGCCGACGGCTCGCCGGACGACAAGGCCGGCCACTACCTGCAGCTCGGTGCAGAGATCGCCCACACCTGCCACGAGTCCTACGACAGGACAGGTGACGCTTCTTTTAGTTGTTTGGTTTTTATCCAGAGTTTTTCTTGTCCTTTCAATATTTTGAATGTGTTGATTTTGTTATCTGTTCAGCACTTAGTCGCTGATGTTGTTTTGAAGTGCTTTATAAAAGACGTAGTAGAAGAAGGGATGCATTGATCTGCCTTTTTCACTTCTAGTACCGATATCTCAGGATTAGCATTGGCCGATAGCGATCCATTACAGAAAAACATTCTGAATTTACTTAAAACGTTTCTTCTTTTAAACACAGACATAAATGTAATGAAGTACAAATTAATTTAATAATTCTGCACCAGTACAGCACACTGAAATACACCAATAGCTTCCCAGGTTTGGTCAAATATGTAAAAACAACACTAATTTAGTTTGTTCAACATAAATATATAATAATGAAACTGTACGTGGATATAGTGCTTTTGAAAAGTGTTCAAACTATAACATATTTTGGGGGGTTTGCATCACAGACTAAACACAAAAGTAGAAGAAAAAAAAGTTTTGTGATTTAAAAATGAAAATGCATGCCACACTTTAGATGTTTATAAAATAAAAAAACATAGTGGGACCAGTAGAAACGAGGAATCTGGTTGGTTTATGAGAAGATGCTAGCTAAAATGTTATGAGCCCTAACGTTAAAGCAGTAATCATAAACATTAGCTTTGCTAACGCTAAAATGCTGTTCCAACATGGTATTTAGTGTAAGCTAACGCGCTGAAGCGTTTCGTCTGTTTTACTGTTGAACTGCAGCGATGCATTTTGGATAGACAGTAAACTTAATTTGCCATCTTCATCACAAGCGTCAGGAGAGGAAACATGTCTGCTGCTTAAACCATTTTCACCCACTTCAAAATAAAAGCATGAATATCTACGGCTAGTCGCTTGCAGTCGATAGCCAAAACTTCAACTCCGATGTCAAACTTTAATCAACTAAGAGTTTACAAGACAGTCGAGTAAATTTAGAAATTACCAGGAAAAATGAATGAAAAATAAAGCTAAGTGAGCTAAATGTTTTCAAAGTTAGCAAGAGCGCTAAAAGAAAAATTATCTCTGCTATTAGTGGATTAGCATAAGTGCCCACCACTAGGAGAGGTGACGAAGCTAAACGCAAGGAAATCCTGACAGAGAAACGTAAAGGCTGCGAAACATGAAGCCAGATGCACATATTTATTTGGCCTCATGTTCTAATGTGACCTCATGTTTCAGATTTTTATTTGTAAAAACAAGTAGAAAACAGTCCACCAACTTTATGTCAATGCACTCCTTTCTGTTGCCACTGAAATACTTGTAATTTGTGGTTGAAAGGTGAGAAATGCTGTGCCGTGCGTCATACAATTCACTCCCTGGCCAGTAAAACGTCCCATTCCAGCACATCTCCTGGAACCATATTTCATGTTAAATGTGACACACATTGGCAGTGACATGTTGGCGAGCTTATTAATTCATTTCCATCAACATTGCTCATTATTTTAATGAAGATCTTTAACGATCAAGACACATGTGTGGACAGTTTTCTCCTCTAATCCCAAAGTTTCTCAGTGCTGCAGTGTTTTGGGTTCTGCGCTCCGGGCCTTCTTTCACATTTCCAGCCCCATTAATCATCCTGCTGCCATCTTGGATTATTTGCTGCTGGGAAAGCATGGATTTATTAATGGATAAGTTTGCCTATTTGGCATATTAAGCTGGCAGCTGATCTCATTCCACACATTGCAGACCTATAAAACAACTCAGTCCCACCCATAGACATGTAAGTGGGCTACTGCAGGTATGAAATAAGGAAAGAGGCTAAAATAACAGGAAATATTGTCTTGGTGGTGTTTTTTTATTTTTTTGACCCAGCCATATATCTTGTATTTTCCATGATTTTGGGGCGGGGCTTAGAATCTAATATGGTCATCAGACATCCTGTTTATGACTATAAATTTTTTTCTTATTTATTTATAAATTTTTTTAAACTTTGTTAGTTTTTCCTCTCCTTTAACGAAGCCTGACTGAGATCAAATAAATCAATAAAACTTGTCAGCGGTCTGATGCGGCATCATGTGCAAGTCGGTAAAATTGTGATGTCCCTCTGAGCGGGTGGAGAGCGGGGTTGCCACGGCAACAAATGAAGACGGAGGGGAGGTGAGAGAGAAGCGCGCGGGGAATGTTCCCGGCGACGGTCAGGCTGTCTAAATTTGGGCTCTCGGTTATTGAGCGGTCAGCCTTTGGGGAACTTTCCGCCATGCTTGTGCCGCGGCGCCGTAATCTGCTCAGAGACGAAAACGCTGCTCTGTCAGCTTCTGTGTTTCCTCCCCCCCTCCTAATACTCGGTACGCTTAATTGGCTGAAGACATTGGTTGTAAAAAGATTGAGGAAAAAAAACAAAAAAGCTAGTAAAATCAATGCGGCTGGATGCTTTTTATGACTTACACATGTGTGTATCTGTGTGTGTGTATCTGTGTGTGTGTTTGCCCACACACTCCTATGCGGAGTCTAATTATCAACAGCAACTGGACCATTAAGACAAACAGGGAGCAAAAGATAATGTTGATCTCAATTCTCCTCTTTCAGCTCTTATTAATTTGTTCCTTTCACTCTCTCCCCTCCTTTGTTTACCCTCCTAACTCGCCAACTCTATTCTACCTTTCTCTCTCTCTCTTACTTCCTCTACCCCTCCATCATCATCATCACCCCAGTCCTGAAGCTGGGCCCAGAGGCCTTCAAGTTCGACAGCGGCCTGGAGGCGGTGGCCGTGCGGCAGAATGAGAAGTACTACATCCTGCGGCCGGAGGTCATCGAGACCTACTGGTACATGTGGAGGTTCACCCACGACCCCAAATACAGGCAGTGGGGCTGGGAGGCGGCTCAGGTAAGGACCAACGCTGACTTGGATTTTATTCTGGAGCTGCAGTGTGTCACGTTTTACAGATTTGTTACAGAATGCCAGATAACCAGTGAAAATAATATTAAATCGAGCTCCTCTTCCTTCACCCTCTGTAGAAACAACCAATCAGAGTCAAGAGGAGGGTCTTAGCACTGTCAGTCAAGCTAGTATACATGCTGCTAAATGTGCTAATAGCGGAGAAACGGCTTACTGTGCAAAAAAAAAAAACACAGTAAGTGTGGTGGACATGCTAACTAGCTTTAGCATTGATGAAAGGCTTTGGTTTGGCAGAGAGAGCGAGGGCATACATAAGCATGATTGACAGCGCTAAGACCCTCCTCCTAGCTCTGATTGGTTGTTTCTGCCCTTGGATCAAGAGGCAGAGGAGCTCTATTTTTATCCTCCTGTTATCTGTCTAATCTTATGCTGTCAGGACATAGTGATAGGTTAATATGTAATAAAAATATTTTTAAAAATCATATTTTTTATAAAAGTTACATAATAGACAGATGAACATTTTACCCTCGTTATCACTTCTCTGTTTCCTTGTACATACGCCACAAAGAGCATTTTAGGTTTTTAGAGGTTTTGCATTACTTCCATTAAGGCCACCGATTCAGTGCTGTGCAAAAGTATTCATACTCTGAGCTTCAGCATTCAGCCTCTGTAGTTTTCTGGAAGCTTGTTCCAGAAAACTGCAAGACACCCGAAACACTGAGTTCCTCTAAATCCAGGCTAAAAGTCCACGTTTGATTAGTAGCAACTGGAACTCTGAACAACATATTAGATGTATATTGATGATTTTGGTGATGGTATTTAGTGGCCTTGCCTTGTTGCTGAAATGTGCCACACAAAAAAACCTTCACTTGACATTTTGTCACATTAAAAGCACAAACTTTAATGTATTTTATTTGAATCTTAATGCAATCGACCAACACATACAGAGAGTCTGATTGGAAAGTGGAAGGAAAATTAGTTTCCCCTCCAATCTCAATCTTTTATAAAATCATAAACGTCTCTCTGTGCGGCCTGCGTTTATGTTCAGCCCTCCTGAGTTGCTGCTTTGTTGAACCTCATTTTGATGCAACAAGCTGCTCTGCATGTCTATGAATGAAATTTCTGCCCATCGTTCTGCCAAGTTTTCCTCTGTCAGATGGAAAACGGTGAAGTAGCAAAACATCAATAAGCAGTCGCTTTGTAGTCTCAGTTGGATTCAGATCTCCTCCCAAATGTTGCTTATTTGTTTGCTTTGACTGGACCGTTCTAACAAATCAATCCTCCAGCACTGTTCTGTCTCATTCAATCTCCCGTTATCAAAGTGGGAATGATTTGTTCACCATAGATAGCACTTTGAGTGGAAGCAAAAAATATATATTTAAAAATATATATTTAGTGTTATTTGAGCTAAAACTCATTTTTCCCCCCAAATCTTTCCTGTGTTCGCCTCGTGACTCTTTCAACAGTACGTTTTTATTTCTTGCAACCTCTGCATAAATTTGAATACACATCTTCCGTTAACAGATTCTCACACCTGAACTGTTTATTTCTGCAGTTAGCTGCTTCCAATTAATGAAATTTAACTCCTGAAAAACATTTTCTTCTTCTTCTGTACTTTTATGCAGCAATGTGTGTTGATCTACCACATCAAATCCCAAAAGTGAAAGTATGTGGTTGCAGCATGAGAAGATGTGAATATTCAAAGAGCACGATCACTCCTGCAGTGCAGTCAGCTACCAATTGTGTTGTTCTGCAGCGTGTTCAAGATGGCGGCGGAGTTAAAATAGCCTCTGGTGTATAAAAGGCTCCACCTGTTTTCCTCCAGCCTCCTCGTCGTGTTGGAAGCTCGTCACAAACAGAACGTCGTCGAAGAGCTTCCCGCTTTAAATCTGAGATCAATGGCTCCTGTCACAGTTCCCTTTCATATCGGGCTAATTATCGTTATTGAATGCCTAAAATTCGCATTAAGGGCCACGGCTATTATTTGTCATTACGAGCTGAAAACAGCACATCGGTCATAATGGGAGAAATGAATGTAATCAGTGAGGTTCGGAAATATAGAGCGCGTCTGAAACGATTGCCTCGATGAATGCACAAAGAGAGAGCAGGCAGGTGAAATATAGCAGCTAGTGACTCCCAGGTGCTCTGCAGTCAGTGTCGTCCAAAGCTCATTCTGATTCAGGATGGGGTTAAAGAGGCAGCATTATGTACAAGTGACTTTTTTTGAAAAAACTCACCTGGAGAGTTTTTGATTCTTTCATGCATGTTTGAGAAATCCTTTAATCTCCATGGCAACCTGTAGAAAACGCCTGGAATGAGCTGCAGTTTCCAAATTTCCAAGCTTCCGCCTCACAGAGCACCCCGTCCCTCTTGACTCCCCCAATAAGCTCCTTCAGACTAGCCAGCAGCAATTAGCAAACACCTGGTGGAGCTGAGCATCTGTTTACCTCATTATAGGAGCTACTTCTCAGTGCAACTCCGGTAAAAACGTTAAAGGGTTAATAGAGGAGCCATGTTGTGATGACTTCCTGGAGGCAGAGTTTCAAAAAGAGCGGGAGCTTCTTAAAGAGACAGAGGCTCAATTTCAAGTCAAATTTCTTTCTAGTCATGTTTTATACAGTTCTGGAAAAAAAATTAAAGACCACTTAAAATGATCAGCTTCTCTGATTTTACTCTTCATCTGTATATGATTGAGTAAAATGAACATTGTTCTTTTATTCTATGAACTATCGACAACATGTCTCAGGAATTACAAGCAAAAAAATTATTTGCAGAAAATGAAAAATAATCAAAATAAGATGCAAAATAAGGTTAAAATGACCTTAAATAGTATAAAGAAAACAAGTTCACAACAATATTAATGTTTGAACTCAGGAAGAGTTCAGAAACCAATATTATAATGTATGGTTTAAAAAAATCATGAGGTTTTCAATGGGTTCAGTGCAATGGGCTCTTCATTTGTTCCAGAGCTGTATGTAGCATTTTTATAACAGTTGATTGTTATAAAATACATACTGCCCCTTTAAAGAGACGCTTTGACACACATCTATGAGAAAAAAGGAAAAGTTTTAATCACTTTTGTTTCCTCTTCCATACGTTGTTGAAAACGTTCAACACCGGTATTTTGTCTTAATTTCATCTTTTGCTCTATATTTCTTAGTTTCTTCTGAAGCCTTTTTTTAATCATCCTTTACAACAAGGACTTTTTTAATCACAGCATAAATCTCATCTCCCATAAATGTTTATTTAATCGGGGTGATGTCACATGGCTACATCCTGTCTCTAACGGCTGGATGTTAAAAGTTTGCTCCCATTTGAACCCGCCTCCTCCGTGCGACTGCTTGATGTGGTCTTTTAAGCAGGAGATCTGCTTTATTTCTGCTTGTTTTTTCGAGACAACCTTTACTTCTTCCTGTGTGTTATGATAAAAGCCGTCTGAAAATAGCACCGAGCTGAAAGCCTCCTCTGACGGGGGGATTAGAGCGCTCACCGTCTATATGAGTCGGCGCGGTTCCTCGGCGCGAGACTCGTCGTTTTCATCTTCTTTCCATCTCTTGTTTTTCTCCTTTCTCCTGCCAGTCGTCTTGTCATTTAGTTTTAGTCTCTCTCTCTTCTTAGCAGCTCTTTGTTTTTGTTTTTCTGAGTGGGAGTAAATAGCATATGAGCACAAGTGCCAAGCAAATGTACTGGCAGGTGTGTTTATTAGCCGCGATCCTGAGTGACACTAAAGAGAGCTGGCGCTGAAGGCCTCGTCTTTACTTCCTTTTGCTTGGTTGAACCTTATAGGTAAACAGTTATAAATGTGATGGAAGAGATTCTTATTTAATGGCAGATTTATGCGGTTATAGTTCTGCATGTTGATCTGGACTGTGTGGAGTTTCAGTGGGTTTTAAGTGAAAATGTTTTCTGAAACGCTTTAAGCAGCTTTAAAGTGAAAAATGAAGCAAAAATTATTAATCTGTTAAACTATTGGTCTCTTATAAACCACATTTTAATTTGATGCTTCAGAGCATCATCCAGTAACTTTTACAGGGTTACCTGGAAAATCTTTGAATTTCAGTTGGATGTTTTCAAGGTTTGGAAAGTGCTTGATTTCTATATAAAGTGATATTCAAACTGTGAAGTTTTGTAGTAAAGTACAACCTAATGTTTGATTAAAAACCTACATTTGGAAAGTGTTATAAACAGTCTTACCTGGAGTGTTACCTGGATTCTTTCATGCATATTTGAGAAATCCTTTAGTCTCCATGGCAACCATTCAGATGTGCAAAACACCTGGGTGGACTTAGCTCCGCCTTTAAGACGAAGCTCCTCCTCAGAGCTGCAGTTTCCAAGTTTCCACCTCATTGAGCAGCCCTCCTCCACTCAGCTCCTTCAGACTAGCCAGCAGCAATTAGCAAACACCAGCTGGAACTGCCGTAACAGATGGAAGATGCTGTGATGTTCCAGAAAGAGTAGGAGCTTCTTAAAGCGACAGAGGCCCAATTTCAAGGTACATGGTAAAAGTTCTATATCATATTTGAGATGTATAGCATTTTTCTAACAACTGAAGTCGTCATAGTTATCCGACTGTGCTACAAACCAGCACTATGTACCTGGAAAATATATAATACTGCCCCTATAAGGTCAGTTAGAATCACCAAAACTATTTTGAGAGACAACATTTTGTTGTATTTTAGTTGATCTTGTTGTAAAATATCAAATACTATCACAATACATTATAAGGAATAGTAATTAATTATATCATATGATAGTAAATTGAATCTGTCTTCTTTAGTTCATTTGTATTGTTTTTATGGAGAGTATTTTTGAAAACTTACTTTGAAAAGTTATGATGTAAAGCACTTTGAAATGCCTTGCTGGTGAAATGTGCTGTACAAATAAAATTTGATTTGATTTGAAAATGTTTGAAAAGTGCTTGAATTTTACTGTGGGAAAACTGTTTTTACACAATCTAGAATTGGGCCAAACTGGGCTACGTTGGAGGG